ATCACCTGACACCTCCACAATTCGAAGTTAATCTTGCCGTCAAACTTCGGAACATCAATCTCCATGTTATTGATGCTCAAACTATGTATCGTCTGTTGGCCTTCTTGTTTTGATGATGATTTACAAATAATTTACTACTAATGTTGTTTGTCTAGTATTTGTGTATTCCTATGTATTGTAGACAAACAACGTTGTTGGAGGATGGATGGAATAGAGCTTCAACGATGATATCCAATGGAGGTTGGCGGAATGTCGGTGAAGCTTATACAATTCAAGTTAAAGATCAAGTTCAGCTTCATCCGCATGTGTACCAAGTCGAGCTTATTGAAGATCAAGATCTAGCTTGGATAACTTAGTATAGGTTTATATTATGTGTGTTAAGTACGTTAAGCTCAATATCTATACACACACATTTATTGGTTTCTTCGTATATATATATAGTTATATATATATACATAAGTTTTGGTTTCTATGCATATATATATAGTTATATATATACATACATGTGTTTTGAGTTTTTATGATTATATATATGAAATTATATATTTCATATTTTCTATTGTGTTTTTGAAAGCCCCATCTCAACAATTCTCCACCTTCGGCGAAGGTTTTTCTCCTAAAACTCGAGCCGACACAATCAAACGACAGATGTCTCACGTTGTGTGCGTCCCGTAGAACTGAAACCGATTGACGATTAATGGACGTAATAATCCATAACAAGTCAGAGCACAAATAGAGTGTGAATACTCTACCAACGCTCGATGTCTCCTCGCAAATCGTCTCACCCCCATCAAATCACTCACGTGCAATGCAATATAGACTGCCTAGTATCCCTCATTGCCAAGGAATCAAGCCGAACGTCAGTTCACCAAATGGCGCGAGAGGACCTTTTTTCCATATCATTAATTCTGCGGCTGAAGCACCTCCAATGGCCTCTAAACACCCTTCCACCCTGCAGTAACGCAACGGCCATATCCAAACTTATGTCTCCAGTTGCAGCCTCAAATGAAAACGTAAACTCATACAGTCTGCACTAATCCAATGATCCGTAACTGTGTCACCTAGTGGAAGATCTGATAAACAATGAGAATGCACCTGGATATGTGGAAAAATCCGCACCAATGGTGGCGTAGGCATCACTCTCCACCCGATGGCGACTGTCTCAATGATTGATCACCACTCGCTCAACCTGCCGAAGTCAATACATGACATACTGATCAGGATACAAAGTCAGAAGCCAAATCTTGATCAATCAAACACGCCTCTGAATCCCAAAATGCGCTATCGGAATCAATCTCACTGGCACAATGGACAAGTCTGGGTGAGGCCTGTTGTGAGCAGCGGAAATTTTGGCAGCACCTCCGGTGCGCAAGGTGCACAACAAGAGATTAGATCGTAAGAATTCCTGTCTCACCAAGGAAACAAGAATCTGAAGCGGATATCTCAACAAAGTGAGATATCGGCTTTTCCTCTCATTAGTTCTAGGACTGACCTGCCGAGGGATCCTACAAGCTATTACAAATCACGGCAAGAACACAACTTTTACGTGGTTCGGCAAATAGCCTACGTCCACGGGGCAAGGAGGGGGAGATCTACTATTAGAGGGAGAGATACAACTAGGGTTTACAATCTCACAAACAAAACCCTCACACAAACTCTCAAATCTCTCACAAAATCTCTCTCAAAGACACAAAAGGACTGCACACAAGAACTCTCATCTGCCGAAAAAGCTTCCTTGCACTTTCTCTCTGCACTGCTCTTGCACGTCCAAGCACAGCCGTCTTTTGTTTTTCTTTTCCCTTCAATTCCTGCACACGCCCAAGCCTTGCTCCTGCGATTTTTTTCTCCAAAGCCTGCGCTGTCAATTTGCCTCCCTACACTCTTTAAACCCTAGCAAAACTAGGTATATATATAGCTGAAAATTCCCATTCGGGTGGGCTTGCAAATTAACATTCAGGTGTGGGTGGTTGGCACACGCGGAAAGGTTCACGCGTTCACTTTTGTGGCCCCCACTCTCACATGTTAATCATCTAAAATTGTGTTTGTTTAGAAGTTTTAATTAGCGACAGAAAGGATGAGAAGGTTAAAATAAATAAATTTGTTCTTTTTCTTATCATTATGTTTAGGAGTTTACTAAGAAAAATAAATGGGAAGATAAAATAGTAACAGAGAAAGTAAAAAATGAGAGGGAAATAATATCTTGTTTGAGAGTTTAGTGAGGGAAATAGAGGTAAATTTGTTTCATCGTGTTTGAGAGATATAATAAAGAGAAGGGAACAAAAAAGAAGAGTTTCATAATTAAATATTAGTTGTTGACCCATAAGCATAGGTGGCCAGACATATTTTATGGTTAATTCCCTTCCCCTTTCATCCTCTATACCCCGATTTTGGGAAAGAATAAATGACAATATTTTTATGTAAATTTATGCTCGCCCATCCTTCATTCCCTTCTCAGTAGAACTCCCAAGTGAAGAGAAAAGCGAACTTCTCTTCCCCATATCCTCTTCTGCCCCTCATCCAAACACAGTAAAGTGGATAGACTGAAGGGGAAATATTGAATTTAAGTGAAACCTTTTTCATTGTTTTAAAATTGCCCTTAGAGAAGAAAAATTATTTGGATGTAAAGTTTCTTCAAAGGGTACGTTGGTCATGTAGTTTTTCCTTTTTTTTCTTCTCTACTCTGAACAAATACAAATTGCATTGTACCCTCTCTTCCTCTCCTTCTCTACCCGTACACAACTAATTATATTTTATTCCTTTCCTACCAGCCTCATCTCTCTATTTTACTTGAATCATTCTCCTCCCCTTACCATTCTTTGTATCCAAACCCACCTTAGAGCAATTTAAGTGATTTGAGGGGCTATTTGCAAAATAAATAAAACAACTTAAGGGACTCATATTGAAAAACCCAAAAATAAAAGAAAGAGGCCTTTTGCTTAATACCTATGAAATCAGATCTGGCAATTAATAAAATGTTAGTAAATCAGCCTTATTCTTTAGCAAAAATGTTCCTCACCACACTAGAGACAATATATATACCACACTTGGTATTAATTCTATTCTATCTAATGACAAGTATCTGGGTCTTCTAATGTTTCTCGGTAGGTCAAAGTCACTGCCTTTTGAAGGTTTGTAGCAAAATTAAAAGTTGGAAAGAGAAAGTTCTATCCCAAGTAGGAAAAGAGGTTCTCATAAAGACAGTGGCACAAACAATTCCCACATATACTATGAGCTATTTTAGGCTAACCCAGAAATTGATTAAAGATTTAAATTGGATGATAGCTAGATTTTGGTGGGGACTATGAGATCGCGAGAGAAAGATCCATTACCTTAGTTTGGTAGTCATCGTGTCGAGCTAAAAAAGAGGACAATAAATCAGTAGTCGGGAGTGACTTTAGAGATTTCAATGCCTTCAATTTTGCAACGCTTTGCCAAACAAGGATGGAGACTCATAATCCAAATCCTCTTGTTTATGCGATATGAAAAGCAAAGTATTTCCTGGCTACTGATTTCTTATCCTCTAACTGTCCTTCTATAGCTCCAACTACATGCAAAAGTTTATGAGAAGTGAAAAAAGTGATTATACAAGGAAGTAAATGGCGGGTGGGAAATGAAAAACTACACGGCTGGACAGTGAGTTCCTTAGCACACAATACCTCAAGGATATGAGGATGTGAAGGTGGAAGTTCTAGTGGGCATGGGATCGAGATATTGGGACCGCGATTTGGTCTCAGATATGTCTACAAGAGACGATGCCTAAATATTAAGAACTCCTCCATTGTCTTCGATGCTTGATGATAGGTTGATGTATATGTTGCTAGTTTGAGGGAAAATTTTAGGGTGAAACCAGCTTACCAAGTTGCATTAATCTTGGTACACGGGGTCACAAAAAGAACTTGGGAATATACATAAATTTATCAGTCTTAAGATTTAGGATGCTGTTTGGGCTTTGAAACTATCCTCTAAAATAAAGTTGTTTTGGGTGGCGACTGACTCTTTCTATTCTACCCACCAAAGAGTCACCCTGTACGTGAGGGATTAGTGGGAATCTTGGTTGCTTCAGTGGAATCATTATATCACATTATAGTTGGATGCGAATTTTCACAACAAAGTGTGGATGGGGACTCGACTATCAGTAGAAGCGTGAAATTTAACACATTTTGGGCTAGTCGATTGGTTACCACGAGTGCTTCTATTGAGTGAACCTCTTGAGTCCAAGAGGCGTGTTTGCAGTAATGTGAGGGATGTGGTTGAATCGAAACGGTGTCAGGATTGGAGAGCAGAGAAAGAGTTCGAACTGGGTGGCTCAATAAGTCTTGGATTCCATAGATGAGTTTCTGAGAGCTACTCAACCGCCGGTCACCAGCGTGGTTGTCGGTGAATGTCATTAGAAGCCGCCAACACCTAGTCAATTGCAACGCGACGCTGAATTAGGAGCATCATTTGAAGGCCTATGGTGTGCTTGTGAGAGATAACGGAGAAAAGTTATATTTTCTTTGTTAGAGAAAACATAGGGGTTTTGCTCACCATAATTGTTAGAGGTTATGACTATACTAAGGGCTTTGGAAGTAGCAAGGAATTTGGAGCTCAAGGCAATTGCGGTCGAGTCTGACACACTCGAAGTAGCGAATGAGCTACAGATGGGTGGAAGTTGTGCAAAACATTATGAGCATTTTGTGGATGCAGACTTTTTAAATGGCTTAAAATTTTTGATCCTCCTCCTTTTGTCAAATTAGAAGAGCAGACAATGTGGGCAGCACGCGCTCTAGCTCAGCACGGGCTTCGCGTTTCTATTTCCATGCATCGGTGAAATGAGATTCCTAATTTTTAATTGCTTGTTTGGAAATGGATTATGTACTCTTTAGTCCTATTTAATAAATATTGCTCTATTTTCCATATTTTAAAAAAAAGAAAGGGAAAAACCTAATTCCCATTTTACCCTTCGCGCTTAAAGCACCAAACCTGCTTCTCGTGCCCTTGCGCTATAAAACCCTAAAACCCCTTCAGACATCCCATCCGAAAAAAAACCTTGTTTCAAGTTCATTTCTGTCTCCCTCCATCATTTCCAGTTATTTTCCTAAAAAAAAAAAAAAAATCCGAAACCGAAACCCTAGATCCAAAAAATTTCCCATTTTGAGAAAGAATCGATCTCTCGATTTCATTTCAATGGCGTCGCAGTTCGTGGATCAGGACCAGAAGTGGCTCATGGACTGCCTAACCGCCACTCTTGACACCAATCGCGAGGTCCGCTCATTTGCTGAGACCTCCCTCCACCAAGCTTCTCTTCAACCAGGTTAGGGTTTTGAAATTTACTATCTTTCCATTGCTTGCGATTTCTTTGATTGATTTTCACCTAGATTCACTACATGATTGATTTCTTCATTCTTCTTGCCTTTTGATTGGTTCCCTGTACGTCAGTTTTCTTAAATTTGGACACATTTGATCTTTAAAGCAGAAATTTTCTGCCCAACTGTTTACGAATCTCGCAATGTTTACTTGATAAGCTTGTTTCTGAACTTGGATCAAAAACAAAGTTTAGACCAGTTCAGGGTTGTGAAATTTATTATCTAGCAATTGCTTGTACTTCTGTGCTTGATTTAGCTAGATTTACAACATGATCGATTTCTTGTTTGTTCTACCAGTACCAATTTCTTCATACTTATTGCCATTGATCGGTTCCCTCTCGCCACTTGATTTTTAAAAGCCGCTTTTTTTTCCTGCAGAGTTTGAAAGAAAATCTGCGTAAATTATCATGCTAATCTTGTTTCTGAACTTATATTGTGCACAGAGTTTGGACTTTTTTCGGTAAATTGTTATGTTGCACAATGTTCCTAAAGAGGATGTAAAGAACTCGGAATGTGCTGTTGAACTAGTGATCCTAAGTAATGTGGTGTTGCTGGTTTTCATGTAGGATTTGGAACTGCTCTCACAAAGGTTACAGTTAACATGGAGGTTCCTTTCGGGCTACGGCAGATATCCTGATCCCTCCTAAAAAGTTTTTAATACTGTTTACTGTGGTTTTGATGTGAAAATATATTTTTTGTTAGTGCTTAACATTCATCACCTCTCAGCTGTTTTGCTAAAACAGTTTATAAAGCAGCATTGGCAGGAAGGAGAGGAAAATTTCATACATCCAGCTGCGTCGACTGATGAAAAGGTATAACTTTGTTTTATGTACTTTTTTCTAGGAATTACGGCATGTACGTTAAAAAGCACCATTTTAAGAAGATAGTTTTGAGAACCAGTTTATGGTCACTGCAAATATCAAATTCAAACTACAAATGTCTTTACATTAAAAAAAACTGGTGTCTTCACAGGTCATATGCTCGACTCTTATTTTCACTATTGAAAATTAAGTATGATACTTCACGATCCCTTTACATTTTGAAATCTTGTACATATACCATGTCACATCTTGCATTAAGTTAACAAAATGTTGTGCTCTATTTTTCACTGATTAAGGAATGAATAGCTTAACTGTCCTTAAAATCCATGCCACTGCACCAAAATTATGATGTTGTTGTGATTGTTGACAGTTAGAATTTTATATTCTAAGACACTCTCATTGTTGATAGTCCTTTGTTATGGGCTGAAACATAGAGATTTTATTAACTATATATTTTTATAAATATGCTTTCAAATGCATGTCCCACGTGTTTGAATAGAAATGCTCTAATACAACATTCCAAACAATAATAAAATACTTGTCATTATGTTTTCCAGAATAGCAACAATTGAGTGTTATAAGTTTATATTCTAATAAATGTATTCAATTTTAGCACTAATTCTACCTCCTGTCCAGGTTACTCGGACACGGCGTTTTGTGTGCCGTGTCTGTGTCTGACATTTGTCGGACACGGATTCTCTGTGAACACGCCATGTGCATGTGTGGTTAAAAGCAAAATCCAATTTCCACATTAATTATACCCTAAACTGGTTTCTTTGGTAATGTCTGGTTCAAAACTAATTGGTTTTTTGAACCCGAAAACTGACTCCCATTACTTAAATATTTGAAAATTACCCATTGTATTATCCCATGCGATCAAAACTAAACTTTTGTTATTCTTAGTTTTTTTAAACTTGATTCTTAATTGTTATAGATAATAGAAAGAAGCATACAAATGTTTTATGTAGTTTAATTCAATATTTGATCTAATGTAAATTTTACACACACACCCCACCCACCACACACACACACAGCCGTGTCCCCGTATCCTACGTTTTACAAATTTGTCATGTCCTGTGTCTGTGTTCGCACCTGTGTCCTTGCTACATAGCCTCCAGTATGATGTTGTACTCACACCCAAATACATGAGGTTATATCTTTGCCCTGGATGTCGAGGTTTTAAAAGACCTTTCTGTTGGATCCTTTTGATGTCATCCTTATAAATTTCTGAGATAACATTTTTTAAAGTATTATCTGAGTGTAGTTAATGCTATGTTGTTATTTCTGTAGCTAGTGCATATTTCCACCAGAAAGATTCCTAAGGCTTTCGTATCAAGTATCATTATTATCTGTTTAATTTTGCGCATTACTTCTTTTTTCCCCCAAAAAATTGACAGGGAGTAATACGCCAACTTCTGCTTCCTTCATTGGATGACTCTTCTGGGAAAATCCGCACTGCTATTGGCATGGTAGTAGCATCCATTGCTCAATATGATTGGCCTGAGGACTGGCCTGAGCTGTTGCCCTCCCTTCTGAAGCTGATTAGTGACCAGAGCAATAAAGATGGAGGTAGAAGATTGTCTGAGATGTAAAATGCGCACTTCATCATGAAAATGCATACTATTTTTCTTGTTCATTTGTTGACACATTGATATTTTACTGCTTGCAGTTCGCGGTGCATTGAGATGTTTAGCCCTTCTCTCAGATGATTTAGATGATACATTGGTGCCAAAATTAGTTCCCAATCTGTTCCCATACTTGCATACAGTTATATCATCCCCCCATGTGAGTTTTTTACTCAGTGCTTTGTCTGAGCCTAGCCAGATCACATGGCTAACCATTTCTTGACTTGTTACAATCTTTGTTTTTCATTTTCTTGGAATTGCTTTTTTCGTTTAGTGAGGTAACATGCAAATTAGCTGCCACATGTTATAACTGCATACGGATTACTTACTTAATTGCATATTTGTTTCAGCTATATGAAAAATCTCTTCGTTCAAAAGCTCTTTCAATAGTTCACTCTTGTGTTTCTATTCTGGGGTCCATGAGTGGTGTATATAAGGTATTTTTTTATTCGCATGATGTGGATCACCATTAATGAGTCATAGTGAGCTAACCAAATTATGAGTTTATGAACTGGCAACTAACCTCAGAGATACAATGCTCTAGACAGAAACTATTGCATTAATGATGCCAATGGTTAGTTCATTGATGGAACATTTCTCAACCATCTTACAACCACCAATGCAGTCTGGAGATCCAGATGACTGGAGCATTAGAATGGAGGTATAGCTTTGTCTGCTTAAATTTGATTGTAGCTAGCTTGCACTGTCTTTGATGTGTACTGTTGTTATACATCAGGTATTGAAATGTTTGCTCCAGTTCATTCAGAATTTTCCAAGCCTTGTACAAGCACAGTTTTCTGGCAAGTATCATCAAGTTTATCAATCAATAACCTTTTATCATCTTTTATGGGTTTCCTGATGATTGGATTTCCTTTCAAAAACATTGGCATCAATTTTGTTCCAGTTATTATGGCACCTTTATGGCATACCTTTGTTTCTACCTTGGAAGTATATCAGCTATCATCAATCCAAGGCTGTGAGGATGCCTATTTAGGGAGATTTGATTCTGACGGTGGTGAAAAAAGTCTCGATACTTTTGTTATTCAGGTACTAGATTCAAGGATCAATGAAAACACATCTTCAGTGCTTTTTCTGCATCATATTCCAACTCTAGAAGAACTTTTGGTAACAAGAATGAAGATAAACGAGTCTTGCCTTTTGAATTTTCTTTCAATCAATTTTGAAATGTAAAATAGTTCTCAGTTCTCATGGTTTCCCCAGGAAGATGTGTTTGGTGGCATCAATTTTACTTTTTATTTCATTGTGTGCATGCACACACATCTGGGTGTACGTGTGTTATGCGAGTGCGCATGTCTGTATGCATATGTGCGCATGTATGTGTATGCCTGTATGTATGTATACGTGAATACATACGTAAACACTCACATAGTCTGATTTACGAATAAACACAACCTTCAATGTCCATTCTAATCTTACGAAATCTGATGTATGGCAAAAAATTCATTATTTCAATGTGAAACAAGAACAGATATATTTGACTGGGAGCATCACAATTATCATCTGTTGGGCTTAGCTTTGGAGCAGAGCTCTAACAAAGTAGGTTCACTATGAAGATTGACAAAGTCTATAACCAGCAGTTAACCTATTCTCAACTAGTCAACTCTAAGCCTTGGTCTCGTATTTCTCACGATTATTCTTTTGAGCGTTGAAAATTTTGATCATATTAGCAAACTAATACTATTTAACATGTTATTTTGTTTCTTTGAATCAGTATGTTTATACATTTGATAATAAATGATTTGTTAGCAATATTTTCTACGTCCAGTGCAGACTGATGATTTGTTTCTTTCATCACAAGTTCATGGTGGCTTGCCTACTTGTCTTCAATATATTGCTCATTTATCTTTTGCATATTTAATATTTTTAATATCATAATGCGTCAAAACATTAACCATTGGTGATTATTGCTGACACGGTTTTCATTAATCCTAGTTATTTGAATTCTTACTGACCATAGTGGGAAATTCCAGAATGGCAAAGGTACACTGCTATCACTTCATATTTTGCAATGACCATCGGCATTATTTATAACGAAATGATGCTTGAAAATTTCTTTTGTAGGTCATTGGAAGCAGTATTAGAGAGTTAGTGTATTATATCATAGCTTTCTTGCAGATGACTGAAGAACAGGTACCATGGAAATTTTATAAATGTGTTAATAACTCCCTGCTTGCATATTTTGGCATATTATGGTTGCTCTATTAACAAAATCCTACTATTTTGGTTGTATATGCTGTCAAGGTTCCAATGTTTAGTTAAGTACTGTTATCATGCATCTGTCTGTCATTGTAAGAGTTAAAAATTTATGGTGTGTCTTGTTTGATTATCTACATGTAATCAGCACAGATACATGTGTCTCTTATGACAGTCTGGTAACATCAATGTTAAAGCACTTCTTAATTCACAATAGTTCAGGCTCTTATCAGGATAGGTCAGTTTGCGTAGGACTCATATTATGGATTATGCATAAAGTTGGTGATGATGATCTAGAGAAGAGAACATCACAGCTCGTTGTGGTTACAGCTATTTAGTCAGGTATGGGTTGGGTTTTAATACGTGGTACAATACCCTGTCATGGTACTATTTTGGACAATTCAACTGAGATAGCCCATGCATGCACACTTCCGGTTGTTGGGCTGCTATGGTGTATTTAGGTTCTTATATGTAATCCCACAGGGTGATCTCCTTTGGATTATGATTCATATTGTCAGAACCTAGACTGAACATTGACTTCAGGTTCGTTTTGGTCAGATCCGGTTCCTATGTAGACAGACACAGATTATTATTCATGAACCTTATAAATAAATTCAATCCCATTACGAGCCTAATTATTTTAAGAACGATATTCTTTGCAAAAGAATAAAAAATTCTATAGCAATAAATTAATTGTCACGCTTCAAAAAAAAAACATTACTATGAAATGACCAACATTAGCTACAAATTTACATTCACCACTAATTTCAATCATCCTTCGACATTGCAATCTCCAAATAATTACATCAGCTGTTAAACAGTTAATATAGGATTCTACAGCAGCTAATGCTGTCCAATGTGCAAAGTAGCGTCATTTACTCATAGTCTTAAACTCTGCCAGAGAAACTAAAAAATCATACAAAGCTTTGAGAAAGCAAACATCTAGCATCTCCAATTTTGTCTATAAACTACTGTCTACTGAAGACATCTACGGGTGTTGCCAACAATTCCAACATTGTACCAGAACAAAAAAATTCCTAAATATCGATTTTCATAAATCCATATGACTTGTAATATTCAAATTAATAATAGATCAAGTATGTAAGATCTTGTGCTAAGTATGAAATGTATATACTGCTCCTAGGTAGTGATGTCCACATGCTTAATGCTCAAAATTCCAAATTTATATCTATTAACAAAAGTTACAATTTGCAGGAAGTCTGATTACGTGTATATTGTATGCACAACAAATAAGGCTTGGTTTACATACCATTCAAATTTGAGGCCCCTCTAATCCAATCTTGAACACAAAATGAAATTCACAATGGTGGTGGGAGTCAACATGGTTGCTTCAAATATAAATGAATGAGCTGCTATGAGATGCTGATCCAGAAATACCATAGGGATACAAATAAATTAGCATGTCATAGAAAACAAAATGTAATATTTGTCAAAATGGACGTTTGTTTCTAGCATACTTTAAGCTTCTGGACATTCTTTTTCAGAAAATAATAGCTGTTATTGATTTTCATATTTATTGCTAGGAGTTCTTTCTAGGATGAAGATGTTGAATTCCTCATTATTATGTTGCTGTGATTTGTAAAGCTTATTTCTAAAGGCTTTGGATCTTTAGTATTTGATTTATTCGCCTTCTATTGTACAAGAGTTAGCATCTTCTGTTTAGTCTAATAATTTTGTCAAGTTTCTTTTGCTCCCATATTCTTTAGATTTACCGTCCTGTTAATTTTAACTTTACATAGGTTCACACATGGTCACTGGATGCGAATCAATACGTTGCTGATGAAGACGATGTAACTTATAGTTGCCGCGTGTCAGGTATGAAGTTGGCACATTTCTTATGGATTCAATGATCATGCTTAATGTCTAAGATTGTAAAACAACGATCGCTAATAATATACTCAAAAAGTTTCAGTATTTATGAGTTGTTTGACTTACAGTGGTGAAATAAATGGTTAAACAAGGCATGTTAAGAAATGATAACTGCATGGAAAATCTTCTCTTTGCTTTCCTTTTTTTTATTCATCTAGCTCTTTTATAGACCTTATAGTACAAGTATGATATATCTTTGGATGTTTCCCTATATCAAAGTAATATAGATTCTCTGTAAAAGCTCTTTAGTCCATAAATGCTTTTGAACTCTCATATTTCTATGAAGAAGTTATTCCACAAGTATTTTTCACGTAGTGTACAGAGAGAGTTTTTAGAGGGGAAGGTGAGGTGAGGTAGAGTAGGGTGAGGAGAGAGAAACACAAAAATTGAACTAAAAGTAGCCAAAGAGGAGAATCCCTCCGATTTGGAGGGACATAGGAGGAGAGAGATTATTATTTGGTTAAAGACTTCTATATCCTCATTATTTTGTATCATTACTCAATTACCTTTTCCTATTTCCAAATTTACCTCTCAAATCTCGGTATTTGCAAAATTAACTTCAATTCTCCTACATTGTCTATCCCTCCCACTTGACAATTTTAGTTTCTAAAGATAAAATGTTGCAAATCTATTGGAAGTTATTGATACATCGCCCTATTTACCAACCAACACAATTAAGTTGAAGGAGTAGAAAAATCCAATGTGAGGAAATTGTGGGGTAGGTTTGCAAATACCAAGATTTGGAGAATAAAATTGCAAGTATGGAAGATTTGAGGGACATACATGCAAAAATCCCTTGAAAACATTGTGTACATTCGTGATTAACGCTGCTGCACATGATCTATCTTGGACGGTTGGAGAACGATACGTCTCTGTTATATGGGCTTGTAGCTCAAGAGGTGCACATAATTCATCAAAAAAAGAAAAAAAAGAAAAAAAAGAGAAAAAGATACAAAAAAAGAGGTGTACATGAGAATGTTTTTGGTCCTTTTATTTAAGGGTATTATTGTCCTTTAACTAGCTCAACACTTCACCTCCCCTTCCCATTCCCCAAACCAAATAAGAAAAAGTCATATACTTTCCCTCACTTCCCCTCCAACCAAACAAGCACAAAAGTTATGTCCTTGCTCCTCATTGTACGTCACCCTACCTCACCTCCCCTCTTCATACCCCTACAAACCAAGCCTTAAAGATTTCTCCTCATGAATAGAGAAAATGAATAAAGCTGATCTAAAGTTGGGTCCTGGGTGTTCCTTTGAAGGGAGATGTGTTACTGATATGATAAAAAACAAAATGGTTTCTAGGAAAATTCTCTGGAATCACGAGGATGCAGATAATTTTCCTTTATTGTCATGCTCTTACACCTGTGCTTACCTTTATTACTTCAGATGCATAAAGTGAGATGTGTATTCTCCCTTCTGAAAAATATATCATTAAATATTATTTATTTTACAATATTTTTTACAAATTATATTGCCTCTTGGAAGCAATATGTGGACTTGAGGAGCATTACCGGCTTGAAAGGAAAAGGTTTCACCTGTGTAGGATCAACACTTGTATAGGTGAAGGTGTGTGTATGGTAGACATGTCTGGCATGTCACTTCGTGGAACTCCTTGAATACATATAGGATCAGTTCCTCAAATTATTAATATATTTAAAATAGTTGTATTATATATACATCATCAAGTTTGCATCATATAAAATATTTCTCCCTGGTTAATTCATGCTTTCGTTTATGTTCAATATTTTTGATATACTCTGCAAGTAGATCTGTCGAGTAAACAAAAGTTAGGCATTGCTGCAAACCTATCTTTGAATATCTAATAATCAAATTCTGAAGAAATTTTTTTCTCCATTTATCTAAATCACCCCCTTGTCCTATCTAATACCTATAATAAGCACCAATTCCCACAAATCTCTATTTAATTAGTTTTTCTGTTTCTGGGAGGGGGAAATAGAAATAAATCAAGAATCTTTGAGCACAGAAACTTCTCCTGGATTAAAACTTTATGACAACATGCAGAATGTCCTGTTTCCAACTCTAAGAACAGAAAGTTTATAACATTTGATTCGGTCAGTTCTAACGACTAAGATGTTCTTATTTAACTAGAGTCATTTATGACATTGTCATTCTATATTAAATTCTGTTGACCTACTACTTAAACTTCTTGTTTTATGCACGGTCATTGATAAATATGTATTTCCAGGATCTCTGTTGTTGGAAGAGATTGCAAATACTTATAGGGAAGAAGGAATTAATTCTATAATTGAAGGTGCTCAAAAGCGTTTTAGTGAGTCTTGTCATGCAAAAGTTGCTGGTTCAACAGATTGGTGGAGAGTGAGTAGACCATTTTTGTTCATTTGCAGTAAATTCTAAATTTCACTTGTAAACAAGCTTTTTCTGTGTATGTGCTGATGTAGGTGTAAGGCTTCTTTAAGAAAGGGGAAGACATTATTACCTCTTTGCTTGACATAGTTAGGTCTCTGAAGTTTAATCCTCTGTGCAGGCTGATTGTCATCACAAACAATCCTTGTTTTGTTGTCTGCAACGAGTCCCTTTTAGGTTTACATTTCAAATAGCTACAGTTTTCTTCTTTAATAGTCCTGTTCTGTTAGCTTACTGGCATAAATTTTGACCATTAGCGAGGTTAAAGTAATCATCTGAGGTAATTACAGAAGAAGGCAGACTAATAAGTACTTTTGAATGAGAATATTTACACTATGGTTTAGCATACTTCCAGTGCAATTTCTTCTTATTTTCTGTGGCCTTATGGCGAAACTGACTAATTTTGACTGTTTGATGAAAGCAAAGCACAATCTATGGAAACCGTATAGATATCTTGTCAACCAATTCCATTATGGTCAGCTGCTTCTCATCTTCTAAGTTAATTATTTGCATTTTTAATAGTGTAAAATTATTGATGAGAAAGAAATCAGAAAGTTAGTAGAAATGATGTGAATTTAGCTCAACCAGATGTCCCTACTTGAGTCACCATCTTAATAACTACTTGTTAATTTATTATGGACTCTGATTCTTGAGTAGATTGATTTGCTTACTATATAATAGACATCAGATCTTTGGCCTCAAGGTTTAGCTGTCCCATGTTATCTAGATATCAAATATTTGACTAAGGTGTGTTTGGAAGTATAAGGTGAGGCATTTCCCTTTTTGTTTCAATTTCAATATTTTTGTCATTTTATGTTCTTTTTAATTTGTTAAGTTTGTACCTTCAACTATCTATATGTTAGGCCTTCGTTTAGATCACTATGCCCTTTAATTTAATATGACATACAGTTATCAGATAATAAATCTAAGATGGGTTCTAAGGGAGTAAGTAATACTTAAAGAATCAAGAACCAAACCAGGCCATGACTTAGAAAGCAACTAGTATTTAGACCCGTGCAATGCACGGTTCCTAAAAGATTTTTTGTCTCTTTTTGTTTATTCTTTTGCGGTCTTTGACATAAAATCATTCTACAACAACATGTAGATGTTCATGATGCTAGAGAGTAACCCAAAGAGCCCTATCTAAACTTCTTCAGATGTTTGACAATGTTAAATTCAAAAAAAACTATAGAAAGAAGGAACAGTGTAACAAATAACCCAAAGGTTTCGACAATGCAAAGGATAAATCTTCCAAAAATTATCGCACCATTGTTTGTGCAAAAAAATGTCAGTATCAACTTGTTGTGCAGATAAGTACAATTGAACTAATTCTGATTAGCCAAACGCACATAATGGCACACATAATGGCACAGAGCAAACTTCGACAAAAATGCACATAATAATGATGACAAAATCTTAACTAATTGCCACAACAGAAATATGCAATCTAATATAATGCACCCAAAATAAAGCATAGTATATAGGCAGTCTCAAAATCCCATCCAAATGCTAACAATATAATCACCAAAACCCAAATGAGTGGGACACTGACTTGAAATTGGCCAAATCTTTAAACCTTAAAACAGAAACCTGAATCAGGACACTCAACTCACCTTAAAAAAGTTCAAAAAGGATCAAGAACAAAGAGTGATGAGGATCATATTGAGAGAGATAAGTGAGAGAGAGACCTCGAATCTCTTTTTGGATGGTAGTTGATTCTCTCAAGTTAACCTTCTCATCTGAAATTAGCTAGGCTCCAATTATTTGAAATTTAAGCCTTCGGAGCAAAATTGGGGATGCAAGCCTGTCAAATTTATGTCCAAATACAGTGATCCATGAATTACTCCTGAATGGACCTCGAACCTGGAAGAATGGTAAGGTCATAAAATTAGAGAACTCAGGCCCAAATACTTGACAGGTAAATCTTTTTGGCCAATTTTTCCTTGACAAAAATCTATTACATATACAGATATACTACACATGAATGTTTAGGCCAAAATGGCTAGTATAGAAATTGATGTACATGGTCATGCATGTAGAGATTTCATCTTCTCTTTGTTCGATGCATCCATTTGTATACATTTCACTTTCATGCACAAAATAAATAAAATAGACATGACGAATTTAAATTTGAGACCTTCATAATGAAATTTCTAAGGGATTATTCTCTTTATTCGATGTACCCATTTGTGTACATCTCATGTTCATGCACTCAATAAATAAAAATATAATTTGAATTAAAATATGAGACCTTCATAATGAAATTTCTAGGGGCTTTCCAGTTAGTCTATAAATTGGAGAGGAGACTCAAAGGAATACTATATGCAACTCCATTATAATCAAGCAAATAACTTGTTGAAGAATCTAAAGCAAACACGAGAATGACACTCTCAAAAGCATCAAACATGAGTCTTATAATGAAATCAAATTTTGAGTTGTAGAAATTGGACGACAATATGTTGCTGAGGAAAACACAAATTAAATTATCAAGCACACAGAATTGCAATGAGAATCCAGTGATATTAGTACATTCTATAATGATCAGAGAGATATTTTAGAAAGAACGTGTTTATTAGAGCTCAAGCGTAAAAATTGATAGTTCGGTTGATGAAGTGATCCTCAAATTTCTCAAATAATTTTTAAAACAAATCTAAAAAACAGAAAGGCAAATATCCTATCAATTTAAAAAATAACATTTTCAAGAAAATTTGCAAATAAAAGAGAGTTTTGGGGTTTTTATTCTATACCATTGGAAGAACTTATATTTGTGCTTCCCTTCGTTAGGATTCCATCTGAAACATAAAGAAAAAGATTCCATCAAATTCAACAATAATATTTTTCATCGAGAATCAATTTTCAAGTTAAAATCACAATGCATCCCAAAATCATAATTCTCACTTGGATTCACATAAAATACTTCTCCTGAATGATTTTTGGCAGTGGCCGAAAAACAACATGTAGATGTTCATTTTAAAACAACATGTATATGTTCATTATGCGTGTGTACTCTTTGTGCAGCATATTGGATATATTATAGTAACATTTTTAGAATCAAACATTAAAAAATGACCGCTTTTAACTGGCTAAATTGATTATATTTGTAATTTAAATGGAACGGAACTTGCCTAAAAAGTGAGCCAAACCCTCGAGGCCATTAGGATCACTGAAGTATCCAACCGAAACCACCATTGAAGCAGCAACCTGCAATAATCCAAGGAGAAATCTAGGGCAAAATAATCAACAATACCATAAAAGTTTTATAGACAGAGAGAGAGAAAGAGGAAACCTTGTCAGTATCGGGATCGCTGATGAGGAGAGCCTCGAGGGAATTCGAGAGGATGATCCTTCTGTACTCGTGCTTGTCGATGCGAGGCTTGAAGATCTTGATGTCCGTCGCTGATTTGCCCACAGCCATTTTTTTGCTGCTGGGTTCAGTTTGTGAGGATCAAAGGGATCGTCCTTTCGAGCGTGAGATGACAACGGAGGTTTGGGAGGAACGTTATTTAGGGGGAATTGGGAAAGGAGATGGAGAAAAATAGAGAGAGATGGAGAGAGTTGTGCAGAGAGAAGATACTAATTAGTTTTGGGTAGTTCTTCTCCGGTTTAAGGGGAACGATAACTGCTGCGAGAGTGGATGTTAGATGGTGATTATTGGAACTATTTTTAGATTATTTTTGAAAGTTACTGTTCATTAGATGTTTTTTTGTTGTTCTCCTTTAGTAATAAATAAGTAGATATGCCAAAATCTAGTCTCAAGAGCCAAATTCAGGAATTTCTTTCTCGGCAGCATCCTGTTGGCATAGCCCTCCAGCAAAAAGTGTGGCCAGCACGTTGCTGGAAAGCAATCATTTAAAGTTCTAACTTTGTCTTCGGGACATTATATTACTTCATTTTCATTCTTTGCACTTTGTGAGCATTGTCAAAAAGAAAAGAACAGAAAAAGAGAATTATGCTGAAATGATTAAAGCAAATCTGGTTCATAGTTAGCCAGTTATGGTGGGCTGGTTGTAAATTCGCTAGTTTTTCTTATCCCCGTGTACAAAATTATTTTCTGGTCAAGGCTCTAACTTATTTATTTTTTTACTATTGCAACATTTTTTTTATGGTTTTTCTAGTTGATTTTGTGTGCTTAATTATTTTTCCCTCTACGTGCATAGCGTATTTATTTGTACCTGGTTCTGGTGCTCACTGGTATTTCTCTACGTTCATTTTAAGTTTCACTCATATTAACAGTATTCCTTTTTGCTGCCTCTTCGTAACTTAAAACATGCATGGGTGCAGTTGCGTGAAGCATCTCTTTTTGCACTGGTGTCACTTTCAGAACAGTTGCTTGAAGCACAGGTTTGTTGTCTTTTCTGAAGTTGATGAGGAAAATCTATTTTGATGTTGATTCTCTTAGGCTCTTAACTTTTAAATCTTTTATTCTGTCTCCTTTATTTAAAATTTTCCAGGATTCAGGATTGGTTAAAATAAAATTAGGAGCGCTTCTCGATAAAATGATCACTGAAGATATGGGAACAGGTACTGGTTATCCTTTCCTCCGTCATATATTGTTTTGGGATTGAGTATTCAATTCAGCGTATTATCTCCATTTATAGGGCTTCATGAATATCCATTTCTCCATGCACGTGCATTTTCAGCAGTATCCAAGTTTTCACATGTGGTGAGCATTTTTCCTTCTCCTGGTCTTCTCATTTACCTTTTGATTATCTGCAAGTTTGACTAATGGCATATATTCTGAGAACTATGCAGATTAGTAGGGGAATCAGTGAGCAGTTTCTCTGTGCTGCCATCCAGGCAATAGCCTTAGATGTGTAAGAATGACGTCTCTTGATTTATATGTTGGTTTAAATTGTTTAAGCTGACTGTGAACTGGTTAATTGATAGCCCTCCTCCTGTTAAAGTTGGTGCCTGTCGTGCATTATCTCAGCTTCTTTCTGAAGCAAACAAGGAGGTTGTTCAGCCTCATATTATGGGTTTATTTTCAGCTCTCACAGGCCTTCTTAAGCAGGTAAATGCGACTTAAAAAGGATTAAAGCATCTTGTACATCTGTGTTAACATGAGGCATCAATGCCATTACAATTTCTCTTCAGGCATCTGATGAAACGCTACATCTTGTACTTGAAACACTTCAAGCCGCAGTTAGAGCAGGTTCGTACTCAACTAGTAGCTTTGAGTCCCATGTCATTCATGTCCAAAAAATGTTGGAAAGTTACTTCAGTGCTTGGTATATTTCTTTCATAATTGCCGAGTTTCAAAACAGGTCATGAATTATCACAGTCTATTGAGCCGATTCTATCACCTGTTATTCTCAATGTGTGGGCCCAGCATGTCTCAGATCCTTTCATCAGTATTGATGCAGTGGAAGTCCTGGAGGTAAGTCTAACTGTGATTTTGTTAGAAGACTTGTCGATTATTGCATTTAAGGTATTCGGATTTCTTTAAAAACTAGTCAAGATCGGCGGTATAAACTAGGATCCCACTTGATTTGATATGATCCTTTTAACTTGTGGAATTGTATTAACAATACTATACTTTACATGTATGTGGAAAGTGATATGTTACCCGGGTACTTCTATAATGAAGCCGTACCCGTACTGGACACGTACCCGACACTTTCCCGTACCCAAACTTCATGGGCACTTCTTGAATATATGCATGCATTTATCCCGTACCCAAACTTCATGGGCACTTCTTGAATATATGCATGCATTTATTACAACATGTACTCAATTATACGATATATGTGTTAATTTAAAACACTTGTCAAAGACTTCCTAGACGTAGAGCTTACACTTCACATCCGAAACTAATGAGATACGGGTCGGATTCGTTTCAGTCTATACCCAAGTTTAAAACTATATAGTTAATGGGTCGTTTAGATGTCTAGTAAAAAAATAAGTAGTTTACATATATAGTTAATGGGTCGTTTAGATGTCTAGTAAAAAAATAAGTAGTTTACAATTCACGATAATCAATATGATAAAAGAAACTCAAAAATGTGATCGGAATTTTAATTCTAATGACACATGAAGGGGAAGAAATTATCTTATGTACAGTATTAATTCAATATATATATGTAGTCGTGTCCCCGTACCCTATATTTTACAGTTTTGTCGTGTCCCGCACTCGCACCTCCGTTTCCATGCAACTTAGGTGGAAACACTGGCTGTTCGAGAGCATGTTGTTACAATATAATCTGACCTATTTACCAGTGCTAAAGAGATCATAGATACCCGTGAAATGGATTTTCTATTTGAATTTATATGGGTGAGGATGAACAGATGCTAGGTTGTTTTACATAATATGATAAATTGTTTTTCTGTAGCGGACATATGATTACGTACATGAAGGATAAATTAGAGTTAAAGGATATGAATGGCCTTATCAATACAGAAAGAGTGGGAGGCTCAATTGTAGTTCATATTTAATATTTTATTGCTTCATATGTCAGGAACCTCTTTATTTATAGATGAAGATAAAAATACTATATGCATAAATATAAATATTGAAATAATTCTCAGGAATGGGTAAGCAATTAATCATTCATGGACTTGGAGAGGAAGAAGGGTCTCATTATAAAAATTTCCAAGTCTGCTCCACATTTCTCATGGGTGTCTTTCTTTTCAGTCTTGTACATTTTAAATTTAAGGCTGAGTGGATCGTCATGTCCGTGTCATGTCTGGTGAACCCTAATTCTTGATAGCCTACGGAAGTTTATACTGCCTTTAGTTTTCTCAATTCTATGTTCAATTTTTTTTTCAAAATTCAGTTTTCTCTGAAACTAGCCCGTAAAATATGAGCTCAGGTTTCTCTTTTCTCATTTGAGTTGGTTAATTGAGATAATGAGTAGATTGTTCTAGTACATCATTATTTTTAAATATCTAGTAACACAGTTGGGGTTGATGTTTCAAGCTGACAAATATTAGATTTTCATTGCTGAAATAATTAGATTTTTGAAATTGCAATGGATCTAGAAAAAATAGAACTGGCATAACTACCAAGGGTATCGATAGCGGATAGCGTCGCGTAGCGGTGAGGCATCGCTAAGGCTATTGCGGAAAAATAGCAGTAAAAAACGCAAAGTCAAATAGCGGTCTAATTTAAATATGTATAAATACTAAAAAAAATTAAAGAAAAACCTAAAAAATCTAAAATTACATATTTGATGATTTAAAGAGATCCTAAACATGAAATAGACATGTAACAATCATGTAATACTGAAGATGACTGAAGGAGTTAAATAGTCGTTATCTTCGAGAAGAGCTGAGCGGTGAGAGGACTGCCCTAAGAGAAGCTCACGGTAAATGAGATGAGAGGAAGTACTGATGTAGGTGTCAGAGGCTATGAGAGGTGGCGGGAGTATGTCGAAAATCACAGGAGATAGTGGAATGCAATGGTCAATGGTCAAGTTTAATTTTTAAAAAATAAACCATAAACCGCTTTTAAATAGTAGTCAAAAAGCGGATTTCGCATGCAATCGCCCACTATTTACCATTATGACACACTATTGGCCGCTTTTATAAACGGAAAGCGCATATTCCGTAATATGTCACCGCTATTGGGCGATAGCGTAGCGGGAAGGGACTGCTAACGCTATTAGCGCCGCTATTGCGGGGCTATTTATTGCTATTTATAACAGTGATAACTACTTGTTCGGAAGGAGCTAAATTGCTTGCTAAATGTGTAGGTTTGTTTAGTATGCATTGTTAGACTACAAAAGACTACAAACCACACAACTTAAGCTTACAGTTCAAGTGGTTCCCTCAGTATGGGGGGTCAGGCTTTTGGAAATCCTGGGTTTAAATCGCGAACATTTGAAATAAGCTTATTTACTTGTCTTTATTCTGCCTTTCCCGAAAAGTTGTGCTCTTTCTTTTCTTTTCTTTTATTTATTTATTGTTTTGGTGGGTTTTTTTTTTTTTTTTTTTTTTTTTTTTTGGGGGGGGTTGCTGGGGGGGTGGGGTGAACCTTCTCACCTTTTCAGTCCAAGCAATTAAATGCATTTTTGTTGATTAATGTAGTAATGACTTTAAGATCCTGCCAAGAATCTGATGCTTGCATCTTCGAGCTACTAGTTATTTAGACACCAGATTAAATGTTGATGAAACAAGTGAACCTTCTCAACACTTTCAGTCAAGCAATTAATGCATTTTTGTTTGATTATGTAGTAATGACTTTAAGATGCTGCAAGAATCTGATGCTTGCATCTTCGAGCTACTAGTTATTAGACACCAGTTAAATGTTGATGAAACAATTTTATGAGCAGTTAGCAACATATGATACCAGTTCTCGTGTTAACTTGATATCATGGCGGTTGTTGCTTCATCATAACTGTCAATTAAACCTCAAAGGGTCCTAGCTGAAAGGTGAGAATGTGAAATGGTGTAATTGCTTAGCCTGATGAGCCAACTGGGTGGCTAAATCAGAAAGGAAAAAACTTCACTGTGCGATCTTTCCAACTGATGTAGAGTTTTCTTTATTCTGTAACCCACATGTCCTCCAAGAGAAATCTGTTTTGTTATGCAGATATAACTGAGGTTATTTATATATGTTTTGTCTCACTATATATTATGGATGGTTCCATCCAAAATCTTAATCACTAAGTTTCTTCAACATGGAAGAACATCTACATGATTTATTGGCTGATCTTGAATTCCCATCTGCCACGGAGGAAAATGCAATAATCAAACTTTGTAGGGAATGAGTGCTTTATTAAAACTGTTGTTGATGTTTTTCTGGAGAGGATGAGATTAATTGAAGAAATGACTAGTTGTCCTATAATGTAAATTGAAAAGCATAAGTTCGGACTACCTCTAACTATTGTGGGTTAATCTTGTTATTTGGTTCTTCTATAGAGATTAGTTCTTCATGATGATTGTTATGTTCCGCTACCTGCAATAGCATCAGGTAACCTTTATTAGTTTATTTTTCAAAAATATACACGACTTAATATTTGTCAATGAGCATTGTCCCATATACGACTTAATATTTGTCAATAAGCATTTTCCCTCTCTACCTATTTGAGTGTCGTATAATTTTATTTAGCATTCATATGAATTTTTAACCTGCGGTGGCACTTTAATGTTCGTTATTCTTTGAATGTATATATTGCATATGCTGCAGCAGGTTGGACTGTAACTGATTCAGTTTCTAAAAAATGGCCAACTGCTCTTTTCAGGCAATCAAGAATGCTCCAGGGTGTATTCGACCATTGGTTTCTCGGATTCTACCATCTGTTGGGGCTATATTAGATAAGGTTTGCTAATTATATTACCATGTGTCATTTTTTTTGTCCCAAGAGGCTTCTCTGTGTGGCTGTGCCTAACTAACATACTTGGATCTATGTATTTATCTGTATCTTCCACAGCCACAACTGCAGCCTGCGGGATTAGTTGCTGGCTCATTAGATCTGATGACAATGATTTTGAAAGTACGTATATTAATTACAAACTGGATCATCAGTAATATGTATGTTTCATGTCATTTTTTGTAATTAAATCATGTTTTCATTTATTATAAAATGTCAGCCTGCCATTGACAGGATTTTCTTTCTGAACAGAGTGCTCCTGCTGATGTAGTGAAAGCAGTATTTGATGTTTGCTTTAATCCTGTCATCCAAGTTATCCTCGAAAGTGATGACCATGGCGAGATGCAGGTTCCTTCTTTACAACATTTCCTTTTCAGCATGCAGATAGCTTAGCTTATTGTTCATAATTGCACCTTGATTTTCCTAACTGTGCTTTTCGGAACTCAGAATGCAACAGAATGTTTGGCTGCTTTCTTATCTGGTGGAAAGCAAGACTTCCTTGCTTGGGGTGGTAACCCAGAGCATACGATGAAAAGACTACTTGATGCAGTTTCTAGGTAGATCTTTATAAATTGATACATTTATGCAATTTTGTATAGAATTACTCTCTTCTAAGTGATTTATTTATGGATTTGTGAATTTTCTATTCATATCTATGCTAATTTCCTTAGAGCCAAACTTTTCTGTACTCGTGTTGCTTATAGGCTTTTGCCATGTTTTCCAGATTGTTGCATGAAATGATACTTTGGTGCTGGTAGCTGTTCCATGGCATTTAATTTGATTTATCTTTCTATTTCTTCATTATGCATGGACCCATTATTCAATGGACTAATGATGCATGACTGAGGGTCAAGTTAACAAGGCCAAAATATTTGGTTCAAATGTGAAGGGACTCAGAGCCATAGGCTTGTAAATACTATATATCATGGTATATTTACAGAATTTGAAAAGTACAGCTCATATTCTTTTAAACACATTATAAATGCTCAAAATTTGAAATATTTAAGGATACTGCAGTGACATCAGCCATAATAGAAATTAGTTATTTACTATGAAACAAGTACCAACTTCCTTAGCTGATAGGAACCATAAACTTGTTTTCCTAATGTAGTGTTGCTGTATATCTGTAGATGATTATCTTTACTAATATTACGTGAGGGATAGCTACATTTTCTGGCAACGAAAAACACATGCTTACTGTGCTGTAAAACTGATGAATTTCATCTTTACAGGCTTTTGGATCCTAATCTGGAAAGTTCTGGGTCCCTTTTTGTCGGTAGCTATATTTTGCAACTTATCTTACATTTACCTTCACAAATGGCTCCTCACATTCGTGAGCTTGTCACTGCTGTCGTGAGACGGATGCAGTCATCTGAAATAGCAGTCTTGAAAAGCTCGCTGATCGTGGTTTTTGCTAGACTGGTAATCTCCTTTGCTAACATTCATTTGTGCTAAGTTCTTTTATTCAATTTTTGTTCGTCTAAGATTTCTCTACTAAATACCTTATTAGCATCTCATATGTTCATTTTTCAATATTCTACTTGTTGAAAACTAACCAAACATGCTTCTTTTTCGTCGGCGTCTACATATATAAATGCATGTTTGGGTTTTGTCATAGTTTTCACCATTTACCCTCGACATGACTCACAGTTTTGTGACATTATCTTATTTTAGGAAGCCACAATGGTTTCAAAGGTGTTATCTAAACACCATATAGAAACTCGAACTTAAGCACATATTTTCTCAAGTCACCCCCCATCCCCGTCCTTCCCTCTCTGCAGCACTCTTATATGATACTGCACCGGAGTGTAGTGAGAGGCCCAGTTTTCGATGGGTCTCTGTGGGATATTCTCATTTTCAGCACATAGCATGATGCTTGGAAGTTTTTATTGAAGCACTAGAGGGGTTAGAGAGGAGAGGTGAAGGCTGCCATTACACATATATGGGGTTACTGATATGAGCTTGTGGCTTGTTCTTTTAGTTTGTTTACATGTGATAACATGCGATAGCTTACTGTGGCTACTTACCTTTCTTTTTTAACACTTTCTTCTTCCGGCTCTTAATGCTAACTACTGATTGCAACATAGTGATTTTCTTGCAGGTACATCTTAGTTCTCCAGATATTGATCAATTCATTAATATGTTGCTTACGGTGCCTGTTGAGGGTCATGCAAACTCATTCTATTATGTGATGTCAGAATGGACAAAACTGCAGGGTAAGCATGTTTATACAGGTTTTTTTTTCCTTTCAAAAAGATGTTATCTATGAGAAAATCCACAAATTGTTCATGAATGTGACGACCCCTTATTCAGAAAGTGATCATTATATTATAAATCCAGTGCTAAGATTGATTTTTAAACTGGAGTTTTATCAACGATCTTTCATGTTTATTAGTTGCAACTTTTTTTTTTAAATTCCAAAGTTGTAATGATGGATATTAATATGATTCATCAGGTGATTGATATATTTGTAAATTAGAGGAACATTTAGTATTTCCTGCAAATGACAAGGCTTATTTTATTATATAATAATATTTTTAGATAATGACTTTTGTGTTATGTTGCTTCTTCTGTAGATATTTATTTTGTATCTGTGTATTATACGCCATTTATGATGAACAAATTATTCTGACATTAGGTTGGGTGAATACTTCTATGTTTTCATGGTTGTCTATGCATATAATTGCATGCATTGACACCCTGGATAGCTTTTGGGTGATACTCCTCTGACATAGAACATGCTATGTAATTTATACATTAAGTTAGAATGTTTTTATGGACTAATTTGCAATAGCTGTATTGTAATTATGTAATGGAATAACTTCTTTTGAACCGGTTCTATTCTGCTTTCTTACGGAATTTGGTTAGTACCAGTGCCAATTTTAGAAGAGAATTTCAACGATGATACAGTTTAGATGTGCATTTTTTTCCATCTTTTAAATTGGAACTCTTTGCGTGGGTACAGGTGAAATTCAGGGAGCCTATCAGATCAAGGTTACAACAACTGCACTTGCTCTTTTGTTATCCACACGTCATGTGGAAATGGCAAAAGTTAATGTACAAGGTCATCTCATGAAGGTATGTGTTTGTATAGCTGCATAACTGTGGGATATTTAGGAAGTGCTTCACAATCTTACAAACTATAAATGCCCAGTCAAATTCAGGTATAACAACTCGTTCAAAAGCAAGACTAGCCCCCGAGCAGTGGACTGTGGTTCCACTTCCTAAAAAGGTATTATTCAATGTTAATCCAAAAACGTGTCTATATCAATATATTTAAGTAATGAGTTGACTTTTTAATTTCTCTCATAAGCATTAGACTTTTAAGCTTCTAGATTGCATGAACTGTTTAGCAGACTGTATTTTAGATGTTTTTCTTCTAATTTATTCGAATCCAATTTTTTTCTTTGTACGAGTGAAATTTGTGGAAGCCCATTTGTTATACTTATTATTAAGAAGCACTCACATAAGTCTGTTGGATCTTGCAGATTTTTTCATTGTTAGCAGAGGCTTTATTAGAGATTCAAGAGCAAGCTTTAGATGGGGATGAGGAGGTAGCCTAAACATGGAAGTTTCTCTCATAGATAAATGCTAAAACTGGAAATTTTTTGTTTACTTCCTCTCGACCTATTGTATTGACAGGATAGTGACTGGGAAGAAATTTCAGAAAGTGAAGGTGGAATTCCTCAGGATATATTATATTCATCTAGTGTCCCGTCAAATGCTAATCCTTCGGTGGAGCATCTTGATGCAATGGCTAAGGCCTTTAATGAGGTGAGTTGGCTATTAGCCTTTGTTGTTTGCACCAGCTGATGTATCCTTTTCACAAATGTAGTCCCATGTAACAAGTGTACTGATTCATTTATCTCTTTGGTTTCTTCTTTTTTAACTTGCTAATTTAAAGAGCGACGATGAAAGTTACGAGGATGAACTTACTAAACTGGATCCACTTAACGAGGTTTGCCTAAAGACTAAAGATACATCTGTTATTGTATTCGCATGGTGCCCTTTTCGTTGTTAAGCTTAATACTCTTTTAACATTTGGCAGATTAAGCTGGCAGATTTTCTCAGAAACTTCTTCATTGGTCTATCTAATACAGATAGATCACTTTTTGACCATCTTTTCCAGGTTAGGAAGGTCATTACTGTGGTTTCTCCATGAAACTACTACTGCATATCTTTGTCTATGGTTACACTAATTGAAACAAATATTTGTTTATCTTGTTTTTACAGAGTCTAACACATGCACAAAGGAGTGCGGTGGCGAAAGTTCTGAGTTAATGAATTAGTCAGAAGATGTGTGTCAATTGTTTGTTTTTGACGATTCGTTAATTATTCATATGTAAGTATTATTTTTCTTTCCCTGGCCATATTGCCCTTGTCATTTGGTGGCGAGGCTTTCAAGCTGCTGAACGGTTGATTCTATCAAGCCATCAAGTTGTGTAATGTCTATGATATTGATTCTTTCTTTGAGAAACGATTTAGAGTGAGTGAGGATTAAGATCTGTGAAGAGTGGTTGAATTAGGGGGTGTTTTTGGTGACTGTAATTTTAATTACTTAATTACTCCCCCACCACCACCACCACCACCAAGGAAAACGTAGTTGTATGTCTGTTAGTGTTTTGCCAATGTACTGGCAAAGAAAGCAGTTTTGATGCTTAAATCCCGAAAGATAGTAAAAATTCTATGGATAAATTTAAGAACTATGTAACTAGAAGCGATCATCTTGAAGCACAGACAAGTTTTATCAAAAGGAGTTTTGTTATTTCAGTCTACTTCACCTTTGGCTTTGTAATGCTAGCCGGATGTGGGCGTGCATGCCTCCCTGTTTCTGCATAATCCACATAGTTATATATGAGCTATAATGACAATCAGATTGCGGGTGGTGATATATATTATATACTTTTCTGCTCTATTTTCGGCCATTGGAATCAGACATACTAGATGAAGAATGCAACTAATGGATCAAGGCACTCTGTGATGAGCTATAGTGGGGAGATTTTTTTTAAAAAAAAAGACATTTAAAAAAAACAAGTAGCAAAAACTTTTTTGCTAAATAATTAGCAAAATCGGTTTCTTCTTGGCAAGCTCATCAAAGTTCGTCAAAAGGAGGTTGATCTTGCAAAATTTGTTGCTTAAAATACATAGGACTATTAGTTCCGTTTGTTTAGCAAGGGCTAATCAAATGATTAAAATTCTCTCAAAAGTATATGAGACTATTAGTCCTGTGTGAATAACAAAGATTAATTATTGCCAAATCTATGTACACAGGACTGCCAGTCCTTTCTGTTAGACCCTAGAGGGGGGGTGATTAGGGTCTTTTGCTAATCTAATCCGATTATATGCCAATTAAAATTAATTAATAAGTTATCCTAACAAGTATGAAATACAACAATATATATTAGCTAGGATAAGCAATATAAACAACGAGATATATCCTAAAAAAGAGATATAAGGAAGTATGTGCAAGGATATATAAACTCAAGGGTAAACAATCTAAACTAGATAGTGGGCAATATAATCAACAAGCAATATACAAAGGCGATATAAGATATGAACATAAAAGTAAGTGCGCCAATGCAATCACAAACAAACAATATGATTACGGAGTTCGGTCCCCACGACCTACGTCTCCGCTCCTCACCTCGAGGAGATCTCCACTATCTCAACCGGGTTTTCTACGTTCACCCGAACAACGTTTACACCTCACAATACAATCACTATGTAATCACACTTCACACACTAAGTGTTGGTCCTAGCCCGTGTCCTCCTCCTCAAGTGCTCGGTTACAACCTCTCCCTAGGCACGTCAACCGACGCCACTCCTCTTGGATTCGACCCCGTCTCTCACCACACACTTCTCTCGGTGTACAAGTGTATTACAAGTGAATCATCACAATTAGGCTCAATACAAAGTGTTTGTTCTCTACAATGAATGAGAACGAATTATAAGCTCACTCTCTAAGTTACACAATCCCTACAACCTAAATTATACAATGTATGAAAATACAATAAGCTCAATGGTTGTGTGTGTAAACAAAGAGTATCAATAAAACAATTAAACTCAATATAGAAATCTAGCTTATGAAAATTAAAAACAATAAATAGCTAGAATTGAGTTTAAGGAAAACTTCTCTATAGATCAAGAGTGAGAGAGAGATGAGTTGAATGCCCAAACACCAAAGGATGATCTCCTCTTTGCTCTTGTGTAATTTGCTTCACAAACTAAACTCAAACAAACTCTTAAACTCTTTTAAACAAAACTTAAACCCTTGATTAAAAAACTTTCTTAAACTTGTTTTAAAACTCTCTTAGATCATCTTGAAAGAAAACAGCAAAGGGGTATTTATACCCTCTAAAAACTCAGCCAAAACCCCAAAACAAATGACAGAAAAGTCCCCAAAAGACAGCTCAGAAAAATAGCCGTTAGTGTCTAACAGATCTATTGGCGGTCGACTGACAGAACGTTCGGTCGACCGAAAGAAAGAATTCGGTCGACCGACGGAAAATCCAGAGACTTCATCGGTCGACCGGTGCGGTCGACCGATGGAGCTTTCGGTTGACCGGACCGGTCGACCGACAGACTCTCTGTCGCACAATGAGCACGAGAACTCAGGTTCGGTCGACCGGTTCGGTCGACCGAAAACTGACATATTCAAAAACTGTTTTGCTGATTTTAAAACCCTGTTTAAAAATATCAAATAAATTCCAAAAAATATAAAACTTTGGGGAATGATACTTAAAAATATCAAATAAATTCCAAAAAATATTTCAGAAAGGACCTCCCAAATAAAAAATATCATCATTTTACAAAATAGTCCAAAACATGAAAATATGAGATACTTGAATTTTGATGTTTTGACATAAACCAACTTTGAAACTTTGTGAAATGTTGTTATAGACTTAGTAAAACATGTATAAACTGATATTGAAGTCTACAAACTAAGAATATAATATTTTCACAAAATTGCATATTCTATGCAATGTTTTCAAAAACACAATAGTAAATATGAAATATGTGATTTCATATTATAAACATGAAAACTCAAAAACTATGTATGTAATGTTGCTTCACTCCACAATTCCGCCAACCTCCATTTGATATCATCGTTGAAGCGCTATTCCATCCATCCTCCAACTACGTTGTTTGTCTACAATACATAGGAAAACACAAATACTAGACAAACAACATTAGTGGTAAATTGTTTGTTAAACATCATCAAAACAAAGAGGCCAACACTTTCTATTTATTAGGTACAAATATAACCAGTCGTGCCTAAAAATTAGGACACAAACACATCTCTTGTTCTCATTCTCTCTCTCAGCTCTCTCTCTAAATCTCTCTATCTTCTCTCTTTGCTCAAGTTTCAATCTCTTCTTAACTCTATTGATTTATGTTCCCTGCTCCATTTATCCTCTCCCACATCACCTCCTTCTCCCTCAATTTTCTCTCTCTCCTCTCCAAACACAAACTAAACTTCCTCCCCAAAATTTCTCTTTTAATTTTATTTCAACACCAAGTGTTGCTCGCTACATCAATACTCTTTAGCGTTGTTGAACTCCGGTGCTGTCTAACCTCTTCGACACCGACGAACTTCAACTCTTCATCAAGGTGAAATTTTTTAAATTGTATAAATTTTTAATTTTAATTGTAGTATGAAAATAACTCTATATTTTGATTAATTTTATTTCGGTTTTAATAAACGTTGTGGTTTGGTTACAATTAGGATTTAACTAGAAATATGGTGGATTAAATTTGATATGGAGGGTTTTTTAATTAAGGTTTAACTAGAAAAATAATATATAAAATTTAATTTATTAAGTGTAATAGATAATTTGCATATGATAAATGTTAATATTTCAGTTTGATGGCGAATGTAATACCCATTATTTGCTTCTTCAACGGAAGACTTAGCGTTGAAATGAATAATATGTCTATATATGAGGGAGGATCAAGAAAAATATTCATGTTATCTAAAACATGCAACTTTGATGGAATGATGAAGGAAATACACATGGTTATTAGAACTAACCGTGGAGATTATGCAACTAAAATATTCTGCAATTTTCAGATGAATGAAAAAAGAATAATTGCTATAGAGATCACCAACAGTCAAGAATTGATTGATGTGATACGACTCTCTGAAAAGCAAGTCTCAACTGAGTTTGTTGATGTCAGTTATCGAACAAGAGGTTTTAGTTAGGAATTAATGTTGAGTTAAGGTCCTCAAGCTTCTTTAGATGTCCAGTTCTATAGCCTGATGTTCTGTCTTGCACATAAAAAGCTCGTGAGAGGCCGAAGTGGGTTCTCTGGTTATTCCTCCAACGATCAAGTTAGTGTATAAACTTGAGTGGGAAAATAAGAAGTAAGCGAAGAAGAGGAGTTCAAAGTTGCAAGAAATCAGAACAAGTTATCTCATGCAATATAGCTTCCTTTTATAGCAGATCGGAAGGAGGAAAAGTTAATTTGGGCCGAGTCCAGATAGGCAGCTGAGTCGGCAGATATCTTACAGGTGTCAGCCACTGAAGAAGGTGAGTCATCCAATTATTCAATGTGGGGAGAACAACAGATGGTTGGAGCTGACTAGGTCCGACGAGTGGGGGAAAGAGCAATGATAACTTTGTTAGAGCAATTAATGCGAGAGTAGGTGGCTATCAACGAGGAGTTTGAGGAAACTACCACCTTTTCGACTGTCTAGTTGAAGGCTGACAAACACTATCTTTCTAGTCGGCTACGTAAGTTGTTGGCTGGAACAACAAGCCGAGTGCATGTGCTTATAGGGTCGATCTGGTGGGTTGGTCAACAAGTACCGCCTTTTTGGTTAGTCACGCAAGTTGTCGGTCTATCGGGTTAGTTACAGAGGCTGCTCAAGTTGCCTGTACTCTAATCATATTTGATTAGGCGTGGAACGAGGCACGTGTCAACCCCCAGAAGGTGGATTAACATTGGGCGATTTATTATTATAACAGAGTTGTTCATTAAAAATTTTCTAATTTTCGGTGTCGCCCAAGTTTTGAATGCTCTGGGAGAGTTCTCCCGCATGCTTGACTTAGAAAATAACTCGTGCGAATTTATTTCATCTCCAAATGTTGTGCATTTAGAAAATGACTCAAGTGAAATGGCATGGACTCAACTACAATGTTTATGTGAGCCTTCCCTTTGTGCACATCAAGTGATATGTTCCACAATGCTTCAGGTAATTACTGGTTGGTTCCATTACAAAAGAGGATAAAGATGTAGATGATTATTGTGAAGATGTTGAAGAAGAGGAGTGACTTGATAGCATGAAGTGTGCAATTGGAGGCATCGATGAGGACACACGTTGGATGGATGACTTTTGTGAAATAACGATTATGTGGAATCGGAAGAACCGTTGCCAGAAGAATTTCAAAATAAGGAGTAGATAAATGCCTCATGAGTTGAGTTAATTGATCTTGATTCTAATTTTAAACGGTCCAATGACTTCACTTTTAATAAAGGAGATCTATTCAAGAATAGGGGAGCTCAAATTCAAGCCGGTGAAAACTAATACAACCAACTATCTTGTAAAGTGCTATTTCAAAGAGAAAGCCCAAGAAGAGTATGCAAGTGCTCAAGATGAAAGAAATTCAAAGTGTCCTTGGGAGCTAAATGCAACTGTTAGGAAAAAAACCTAATGGGTAATTTATGATCTCTAATTATTGCGGACTTCGTCC